AAAAAAAAAAACAACCGAGTCAGTACCTACTGGCCCTGCACTACTCAAGATGCTAGGGATTTGGTAGATAAGAAGATGAAGTTGGAGCTTACAGTCTGGGGGGGGGGGAGAGAAATGATAAAAATTAAAAAAAGCAAGATACCCAGACAGTAATAGGGGCCATGAAGGAAATAAAATTATGCCAGAATAACTGGGAAGAGCCACCTTAAATAGGAGTGGTACAGGAAGGCATCTGACATTTTAGTGGAAGCTTAGAGACAGAAAATGAGCTGGTCATTCTGTGTGCTGGGGGAAGAACATTTGATATAAAAAAGAACATGAAATGTCATGGGTGGGAGGGTGCAAGGAGCTGAGAGGGGCCAGTGCAGTAGCTAGTGGGGAAGTGGCATGAAAAAGGTGGGGGAGGAAGTCTGCAATAAAGGGATGACATAGAAGAGTGGCCAAGAAGGGACTGGTGTGATTAAATCAACACTTTTACCTACTGAGATGGGGATGGGATAAGCACAGAGGAGGGAAAAGGGTATATGCACCTCAGTCCTTGGCTTAGAAGAAGCATCACATTTTCACTCACCCTAAGACATCTCCCCTTTGCTGAGGCTTACCTGGGGGTGGAGGTGCACAGGGAAGGTCAAGAAGGTGTACTGAGGCACCACGTGGGGAGGGATCCAGAGGGGGAGGATGCTGGGCATCCCCAGAAGGGTCATCCAAGAGATTGAGTAGATCTAAGAGCTTTGAGGCCTGGAAGGAAGGGCAGAAGGGTCAGGGCTGTGTATGGGAGCCCAGGCAAGTCCTCTCATCCAGGGCTTTGAGCCTCTTCACCTGGGGCTCTGTGGGCACAGGGGCTGCTTCTGAAGGCTTGGCTGCTGCTATGCTTTCTTCTGCTACCTCACCAACCTGAGAGCCACCTCGTTCTACAAGAGGCATTTTTTCAAGGATGGCAGTCCTGAGAGGATGGAAAGCAACTGTGTCCCTCTGTTTGGTCCCTGGGCCTTCCACAGAGGCACCCTGGGATGAAGGCTGAGGGCATGGAGAGCAGGGCACATGATGAGTCAGAAGTGCCCTTCTGGTTTCCTAAGATGGTTCAGATGACCAAGGAGGGTTAGAAGCCAGCTTTACTTCAATGAACAGTAGTTGGGAGGTTTTTAACTTAGATGAGGGACACAGGTGAGGATGGGACCCTCTAGAAAAGGGCATTTGACAGGGCAGGGGATTGGTTCCTATACTACAGCAGAGTGCCGGACGTACCTCATGTGGTCATACTTCTGGAAAAGTGTGTTATATTCCACAGCTCGCTGTTGCAGTTCCACGTCCTGGCAGCTGCCATAGATGGATACCACCTGGCGGATACGCCTGACACATGGTGCAGGGTGTAAGTGGCAATGGCAATTTGCATTGCTCTTCTACTCCAGTAGGTGGCAGGGAAGGGAGAGGCCCCACAAAGTAGGGAGATACCCAAGATTTGGCTCAAAAAAAAAAGAAGCTAAGGACTGAGGAGTTGTACGGGGGGCTGGTTAGGGATTATGTGTTCCTAGAGAAATGCTCAAACTGGTGGGCACAATGAAATGACATCTCTCAAGGGGCCAGGGGGACACCACATACTTGTTGTCTCCATGGAGCCGGGTGCTCAGCTTCATGAGGGCTGTGAGTGCATATGCTCGGGTGGCTGGTAGGGACATGTGAGACTGTAGTACCTTTTCTAGCAGTGCCAACACCTCCTCTTCTTCCACCTATAGGCATGGAACAGGTAGTGACTTTGAGGCTAGTCCTACCTCCCCTTTTGGAGTCCCTCCCCAGTGCACCCCCAAATGCAGATCTTACCTGAAGGGGCTCAGATTCCTCGCAGTTCCCCTCCAGTAGGAGGTCCCCATACTCCCCAATGCACCAGGCTGCCACCTGCACTAGTGGTTGCTGCATGGGATAAGAAACACTGCTGGGGCCAGACATGGTAGCTCATGCCTGTAATCCTAGCACTCTGGGAGGCTGAGGCTTGAGTTCAGGAGTGTGAGACCAGCCTGAGCAAGAGTGAGACCCTCTCTCTACTAAAAATAGAGAAAAAAACCTAGCTGGCCATAATGGTACATGCCTGTAGTCTCAGCTACTCAGGAGGCTGAGGCAAGAGGATTGCTTAAGCCCAAGAGTTTGAGGTTGCTATGATCTATGGTGATACCACAGCATTCTGCCTTACCCAGGACTACAAAGTAAGACTCTGTCTCAAAAAAAAAAAGAAAGTCTCAGAGCCTGTGGCTCAAGTGGCTAAGGTGCCAGCCACATACACCTGAGCTGGCGGGTTCAAATCCAGCCTGGGCCTGCCTAACAATGACAGCTGCAAACAAAAAATAGCCTGGCGTTGTGGCAGGCACCTGTGGTCCCAGCTACTAGGGAGACTGAGGCAGGAGAATCGCTTGAGCCCAGGAGTTAGAGGTTGCTGTGAGCTGTGATGCCACGGCATTCTACCCAGGGTGATAGCTTGAAGCTCTGTCTCAAAAAACAACCCCCCCCCAAAACACTGCTGGGTCAGTATCTGGGTTCCCCTCCTTACTTCCAGACTTTGGAACATCCCTTTAAGGCAGGGAGAGACTAGAGGGGTGGGGAAACCTAAGTTTGTTACCTGGTTCTGTCCCAGTGCCTGGGCTCTCACTGCCCTCTGGTGGCCAAGTATCAGAACTACATGGCCTAACCACAGGATGGAGGTTTTTTTGGGAGGGAGGGCAGTTTGAGACAGTCACTTTGTTGCCTTGCATAGAGTGCCATGGCATCATAGCTCATAGCAACTTCAAACCCTTGGGCTCAAGCAATTCCCTTGCCTCAGCCTCCCAAGTAGCTGGGACTACAGGAGCTGGCCACAATGCCTGGCTAGTTTTAGAGCTGGGTCTTACTCTTGCTCAGGCTGTTCTTGAACTCTTGAGCTCAGGCAATCCACCTGCCTCGGCCTCCCTGAGTGCTAGGATTATAGGCGTGAGCCACCATCCCTGGATGGAGTTTTGAGAGGATTCCTCCCTTGAGGAAGGGTGGATGGTTTCTGCCCACCCTACTTAATTAAGATGGAAAAGGGGGATGCTGTCTGGAGATATTCAGCATTCAAGAAAATAATAAAACCTAAAATACAGAGCTTTTATTTCATTTAATCCTCAAGACAGCTCTGCAAGGTAGGTGGGATAGAAAGCTGAGTACACGGAACATAAAGAAAGTCACCAGTGGTTGCAGGGCCAGTAGGTATCAAAATCAGGACAAGAAGCCCAAGTGTTTTAACTTAAAACTTCCTGAATGCCTCCTGTACTAAGTAGATGGCTGTGACCTTGAAGGAAATATAGTCAGGAATGTGATGTAGGGAAGAGGTGGCCCAGGATAGGCTGGGAAGCCTTGGGCCTTGTTAGGTAGGAATGGTACCTGGGATATGTCTTCTGCCATGGCACTGTAGAGGCAGCGCACAGAGTAGGCATGTAGGTCCTGGGCCCCCGCAATCAGCTGGGTCAAGTTGGCCACTGCGTCATCTCGCACATAGGAGCCTGCCTGGAGGGGATGAACATGGCCAAGTCTGTATGATGAACCCTGACCTCTACTACCCAGCTCTCTTACCAGCCCCTGCCTCACCATTGTCAGCACGTGCAGGATGGTATCTATGTGCCACCGCTTGGTTGGAGCAAATCTAAGGGATATAATGGCTCATCAGTCCTGGAATGGACCCTCTCCAGATTATATCCTTTCTGCCTCCCAGACATCTCACCTCTCTGCAGCCAGCAGAATGCCTGAGGCACAATCAGCCCGTAGTTCAGGGGGGCAGGACCCCAGAAAGGCCTGCAACTCCATTGTCATGGCTCTCACATTGGAGCTATTCACCAGAGCTAGGCTTAGTTCCAGGGCCCTCCTGGCAGGAGGAAGACAGGTGTTTCCATAGGTAGCTCAGGTCATCCTGCTCCATTCTTAGGCCCTCCCCTTCCTCAGGCATCTGTCCCCTTAGAACCCTTAGTCCAGCTGCTCTGAGCTGGCTTGGTCTTGGCCATCAGGCACTGGGTCTCTGCTCACCGGCTGAGGGAGGCATCAGTTTCCTGCAGACACTCCACTACCGTGGGCCGATGCCGCTGCACAGCACTGTGATCAGACTGCACCAGCCGCAGCAATGACATCAGGGCTACATACCTGAACAGTGGAAGAGGCCCTATCACACCATGGCCATCAGCCCCCACCCTCCTGATCTGGTATAGGGGTAAGAAGTAGGTGTTCAGGAGGTTGTCAACCTGGGACTATTACCTAATGTTTTTGTCACTGTTGAGCAGGAAGCGGCCAAGAATGTTGACAGCTAGAACCTATAAGAGACAGAGGTTGGGGACAGAGAAGGATCAACCTGCCTATTTAGGAGTGTGACCACATGGTATAGGATGGTAGGGATAGGGGAAAGAAACCAGTGAGCAGGACCTGTCTGCCTAGGTGGGGTTAGTGGGTGGGGCCACAGTGGGAGAGGCATAAGGGGACAATACCCGTAGGCCAGCTGCAGAGTGGATGTCCATGATAGTGAGCACTGTCTCAAACAGGACCGCATTGCCAGCATTTCGGCTGGTGTCTGTGTTAGTGGCTACCTGAGTGGATGGGAGAGGAGATGCATCTGCACAGGGCTCTGTCTTCTCCTTGGGTCTTTTGAAGGTCTCCACTGCATCAATGAGTCCATCCCTCCACCATCCAACAATACTCCTGAACCCCTACTACATGCCAGGGCCAGCCTGGACACTGGGGCGATAGCTCTAAGACAGACTGTGTCCCTTGTCCATGGAGTTCACTGTCTATAGGGGACAGAGGTGATTATATGGCCACTATGTGATAAGTGGTCATGTGAAGCATGCCCAGGGGTGCTGGGGTCACACACCAGTGGTGACCAGTGCCCCACCTAACTAGTTCCCCCTTCCCAGCCCCCCACCTGGGCCAGTAAGTCATTCATAGCCTCACTGCTCTCCTCATGGTTCCGGCCCAAAATCCGAAGCAGACGAAGTATCTGGACCTGAGGTTGGGTTAAAGGTTAAAAGGTGGAGGGATTCATACCATAAGGAGTCATGGGACTGAGGAGAAAATCCAACATTGAGAGGGGTCTGACCAGCTCCCTAGAGCCTCCCTACCTCTCCTTTTCACCTCCACAGATCCCCTGGGCCCTGGGAGGGGATCAGAGGTATGTGATGCTGGGGGATTTTAGGGCAGTTAAAAAAATTGTTACAAGCTATATTCTCTGACTTAGCAGGAAGGCTGTATTCCCTCTCCCTCATGCTGGGATGACCCGAGTGATCCTGTGCCTGCCAC